TGCATAAGTTTGGGATTATAAGACAGTCTGAGTTAAAGCCAGTACGCCCAGTTGAAGTGGTTTCCGAGGTGACAACATCTAATGATCAGCACGGCAATCGGAAGAAATTATTAAGAAAGATGGAGCTAATTCCAAAGATCTCTGCACATCAGGAGCCAACACACAAGAATAGAATTGCCAGGATACGCAAAGCCTGAAAATAAATGAACAAATAGTCCTTCAGGTGGATAAAGGAGCTACAATGATAACGGACAAAAAACAATATACCGAGAATATTGAACATATTCCACGAGACAGAACCATATATGGTATACTCAACAAGGGACCTACTATAAATATCAATGGAATCTTAAGTGACATGCTGAAAGATAGGCATAGGAACGGGGAAATTGATGCATGGACAAGAAACTCAGTCATGGGAAAGAATATACGATGACCAACAGCCTATCGAATATACACAAAGAAGGCGAGCCGCTAAGGCTGATAGTCAACAACAAGTATGGAGTAACACACAAATCGGCAAAGTTTATATGTTTGAAGCTCAATAAATTAAATGAGAAGCTATCAAATACGGTGAATTTTCTCAAAAAATAAAAAACATGGTACTGGAAGAAACGGACTTATTAGTAAGCTTCGATGTGGAATCCATCTATACAAATATCTCTAAATAAAATGCGCTAACGGCCCTGCCGGAAATCCTTGACCGAGAGGAAGATACCCTGGAATCACAACAGATTAGGATGAAGTCATTAACAAGACTAATCAATTGACAATAAGGACAACCTATTTTAGATTCAACGGGGACATCTATGAACAATATTTGGACTTCCCATGAGATCGCCTCTCTCACGACTTTTGGCGAACATATACATGAACAAAATAGAGGAGAATTTCAAGATATCACCGCCACAACTGGCAATGCTCATGCGATAACTGGATGATTATTTCGCACTTTGGTCACATGGAAAAGAAAAACTGGAAGAGTTTTTGAACTTTGTAAACCAGATTGATGAAAAAATTAATTTTACGATGGAAGTAGAGGAAAGTGAGCAATTATCGTTCCTAGATCTTGAAGTGATTCGCTCTAATTGGACGCTCAAAAAAAATTGTTCAGAAAGAATGATAATACTCAATTTCCGGACCCATCACAATTACAGGCTAAAGATAGGAATAATGAGAAACATGCTCATCCGAGGCCTACGCTTAACGGATGTAGGATTCTGGGACGAGGAGTTGGACAAATTGAAGAGGATATTCCTCGGCAATGAATACCCAAGCGAAGTAATACGAAGAAGCACACGGACCGTGAAAAGACGACAGAAAAACGGGGACTATGTAAGAGCAGTAAGGACGATGAAGGATTCACAAAAGTAGATATGCCTACCTTCTTGCGAACTGAATAAAAAAACTAAGGCCAATATTGAGGAAATGTAATATTCGGGTAGCCATGAAGGAAAAATCAACACTTTTAACATGTCTACCGATGCAACATGAAGGAGTGGACAAATTGGATTGTTCAGGAGCTTACTGTATATCACGCAGTGCGTGCAAACATAAATATATTGGCGAAACAGGGAGAAAAATTAGCATAAAAATCAAGTAACATCAAAGGCTCTGCAGGAAAATGGATACCGAAAGATAAGTATTAGCGGAACATGTCCCACAGACTGGACACTAGATCATTTGAAAGGCAGCTGAAAAAGGGCCTCATACGGTGAAAAAAACAAGGAAGCGGAAGATAAGGGAAACCATTGACATCCTTGGGGAGAAGAATCAAATGAACAGGAGATTGGAGGAAGGTAGAGTTAGAGATAACTTTGTTGAGCTTACTTCCATTTCGAGTAAGTGTTGGGTGAAGAGATTCAAAGGTCGGTTCCACCAGAAGACGACGGCGGATTCCTTTTGACCAGCTGTCGGTTGGCTTTACTGGAAGATTCATGTTGACGGTGTTTCCGAGGCAATCTTCTTCAATTACGGTGAAAAGGTGGAGATTGCCTCGGAAACAGCGTCAGCATGAATTTTCCAGTAAAACCAATCAACAGCTGGGCCTTGAGAAATAGCGCCTGGAGTGAAACACAGACTGGGACTAGAGCCAAGTGGAATCGGTCACCAGAAAGATAAGGAACGGATCTCCGGGACCATGAGGGAGATCGGATTGGAGGCCTGAGTCAGATTAGCCGATCGAAAGAAGGGATCGGGGTTAATAGCAGGTGTGATAAGGCCACGCTAGATTTGCCACAAAAGGGCACACGTTTTGACGAGTTGAATTCAAACAAGTGAGAAGTGATAGGATGGTAGTTTGATAAGAGGGCAAAGAGTTTATAGATAGCCCAGGGCAGAAATAGGGGTGATAGTGTAACCGTTTTCGACAGAACGTTGGTGGAAGGATTGACTTGTGGAGAATGGCATCATTTGTTGATGATGCCGACTACGATGTTGGCGAAACGTTTGAGAATGTACCAATTCCACTGTCTGATGCCGGGAATTATGATAACTACTATGACAGAGGACTTCGGACTAGGTGCGTTCTACTAAGTCCCCCTGACAACAAGATCAAGTTGCGACAACGAGGTCAATCCACTTCAAAAAGTTTTGCTTCCCTAAAAGTATTCTCCTTAGTGGAATGCAGTTTCGATCTCGACCAGATTTAATCATCCCTCTAATGGGACTCGTATCCAGGTAGTGTAGAGCAAAGTATCAACACGACAACTACCCTACACTGCCACGAGTACCTTTAGGTGCTATGACAGTCACGAATTCCCAAGGTCAGGTTTTTATTATGTCACTGCATGGTAGAATTATCAATGAAGTAGTCATATTTCTTTTCTTCGTTTATAAGCAGGTTATCGAGACAACCAGTAGATCATTTATACATCAAATGCATTTATCCTATTTCATTTAAGGTGATAGGAGCACCAGTAGTTGATTTTTTCACAATTTTTCACAATTAATAAAGCTTAAGCTTACATTGAATTCTAGGTATCATTGACATAGCCATGAAAAAAGGTATTCTCATCCAGGATGGACTGCAGTTTCAACCTCGCCTTATCAACACCCCCATCAAGACTAAAACAATGGAAGTACAGCGTATAATTTCGACATGTTAAGCACTACGTCATATTAGCACGAATGCCTTTGGATTACAGGAAAGATGTGAATTCTAAGTAAAGCCAGGCATTTTTCCGCATCGCATTCTTTGGTGGGACTGTCGATGGAGCAAACCTATACTGGCTATAGCATTAGAAGACGTTACCTATTTTTCGTTTATAAATAGGTTTTCGAGACTACCAGCATATAATTTATATATGTAGTTTATTTCTACAGCAATCGACCACATTAACATTTTTCCTTTAATAGGTATGTTTTTGATACTACAATTACATCATATCTATGAAATGTATTTACCTTATTCGTTCAAGTTGATAAAGGACACGTAGATGATTTTCTCAATGGAATACATGGGCCCAATATCTCAATCTTTGCTATCCAAAAAGCATATAATCCAAAATAATGTAATCAATTAATATAAAAAATAAAACGTGGGTTCAACGATAATCTTATCACATAGAGTAATGTGGGAAAGTTCCGAAACTACTACATTAACACAAAATCATACAGCAGCCCAATTTGGAG